TAACTCTCCCTTCGTTTTTCTTTATTTGTTAAATAGGTCTGATGGATTAGTTCTTTACGTCGCTGTTCAGAGGCCAAATGTTCTTGGTCAGTCAACTTTTTACGTCCAGCCCCACCCCTGCAAATCTTCGTCTTAAAATCGATCAAAGTCAGTTTTCATGATACTTTCGTAATCGTAATATATCGAATGAGTATCAGTTTACCTTGTAGGAGTTGTTAGAGTTGGTACTTCAAATACTTGATAACTTCTTCTTTCACTTTTCTGATGTTTTAGGCAGACTGTAAGTCAATATTCAAGAATGCGATGTGCTGCTTCTGGAGCAGTGATAATGCGACTGGGTTGATAATTTTTGATTTCTTTGTTGTGAAGCGTTATTTGTTTACTCTGTATTGTTGTGTTGTACTCGGCATTGTTGTGGAACACAACAATGCCGAGTAAACAAATATCTGTTGACATTGTTGATGACGTAATTTATTGACGACGAGGAATCACAAATTTTTATAATATAGACCACCTTACCCGAGGCCCACCCAAGGGGGCGAAGCAGGCCTCTCACCTAAAAGTAGTGTTGAAGTTAAGAATGAGTTTTACCTCCACACATGTTGAATGCCATCGTGGCATGGTGCTTAGTCACAACATAGTGTGGATGATTCATATGGATAATACACTTTTTTTTTCTAAGGAAGTCACACATTTTAGATCACATTCAGACCTTTTCATCTTTATTGACTGCACATCTTGGCTTACACACAATCTAGCTAGCTGTGCCTCTAAATTGTTAAACCCAGAGTATGAACCCACACTGATGATCCCCAATAATATAGCATTGAAAAATTTCTTGTTCATGTATAATAACAGTCAAATGTTTATAAACTCACAGTTTATCCTTTGTTACATCTAATTTAATGTAATATAGTAGTGTAGTGAATTGGCCATGTTTAATTAGGAAAGATTATATAAAATTGCTTTATTAAGTAGAACATGTGTACATTAGTATAAGTAGCAAACATTACAATCTTATAATCTCGAAGATTTGTTCTCAGTGGCAGGTGAAGTTGGGATCAATTTTTGGACATATCTTAACTTCCCATTAATCTCCTGGCATTGTGTTAACCACCACCATGAAACGTAACACTGATTGTAAAGTGATTATAAAGAGATAATGTTATGCGTCTATCTTGGTTCATGACTGTAACAGGTTAGTTACTTAGTATAATTGTGTTGAAATATGTGGAATATTTTTGTGTAGTGAAACTTATGATACAAGCACAAATTATAAATTCTGAACAAAATCATGAAACACTGAGAAGTGATCAACTTCAGAATTATTAAGTGACTTAGAATTCCTTCTAAAACCTGATTAATTTTATTGGTTATATTTATATTTATATATATATATATATACAGTAAAAACCCCTCAAGTTGGACACCCCTTTATATTGGACACTTTTAATTGGAACCAGCGAATATCCTATAATTTTACATGTCCACAATACCCTATATCTTGGACACCCCTTTTGTTGTAAGTTGGACAGGTTCGTGCACTTCGCTTCGACGCTTTTCAAGGAAACTTTTTCAGTTGCATATTTTGTTATTTGGAATTTCTGACTGATGAATGCCTCATCTCTGGAGGATTATCTTATGGACGTTGAACCCATCATTGGAATGCATTGCAAGTGTTTAACTATTCTTTTCCTGAACCCTTAACTGGACTACAGTTTTGCAGAAGACACAGTTTTAACTCCGCTTGCGTTTGAGTTCAGACTGTGTTAACAGGAAAGGAATTTTTCTTTTTGCGATGGGGAAGCGAAAGTTGGTGGAATTAACTTTAGAAAATGTTATTGAGGCTGGGGTGTAATGCGCAATGCATGGGAGTGGGCTTCAAAAGATTATTATTAATAATACTATTGTCATTAATTCTTAATTCAAGTAGTTAGTGCATGTAAGTAAACAGATTATATTTTCATTAGACCACAATCTGATTTTTCTTTTTCCCTCTATCTTGGACACCTCTGTAAGTTGGACACATTTTCGTGGAACCCCAAGTGTCCAACTTAGAGAGGTTTTACTGTATATAATTTATTAGTTGTATGAATAAATAAATAAAAATCAATAATGAGAAGCCTGATACTCTATTGGCTTGTTAGTTAACCCAGAGCCACATTCAGATTAAGTGCAGAGTGGCAAGATAAGTAGGTTAGGTTAAGAATTGTTCCATTCTTTTCTTGCAGAGGATTTCCTATTTTTTTTAAAGTAAAAACTACTCTCTCAAAACTCACTTTAATCAATCACGTTATCAAGCCATCGCCTTAGGTTTATGGACAGATTGGTCATGACATAGTTTCATAAGGTCAAAGTTACTACAGTTACTAAGACCACTTGACTATGTTGTGGTTGAGATGATTTAATCCTTCTCATGGTCAGTGGCCAAACTTACAAAGAGTGAATTATTGTTTGTACTCTGGCCCTCCTCAGGTCACTGGTAGAATAAATTACCTGCCATAAGATAAAGTATTTGGGAGTGTTAGCATTTACCGTAAATAATACAGCAAAAGATAAAGAATACAGGTTAGCTTAAAAAGCAATATTGTCACCCAATGAATTTGAATAGGAAATTACTTACAGTTAGAGCTCAGCAAAACTGAAATTCTTTCACTGAATCATTTGTGATTTTGTTTGTTTGTCAAAGGTTAATCTTTTTGGTGAAGATTCTGTCAGAAACCCTTTGGGGATTTCTGGAGCATTAGGTCTCTTGCATTTCTATCAAACAGAAAATTACATTTGCATCCAACCACTATATGGGTATTCATCATGGTTATATCTGGAAAGTCCTATATCTGTTCCTGCTACACGTCAGTACTAGCTATAAAATAATGGTTATGTGAAATACTCCCAAACTCTAGTACATATGATGGAGATAGAACATATATGTGCATGTGTAGTCCTCAGAAGGTTAAGAAGACCACAAAATAAGGTGAATTAGATAATCATCTAAACAAAATATATGATATGAAAAAATTGTCCATTAATAACTTTTTTTGCCATCTATATGTGTACTTGTTGTCCTCCACTGCAAAACAAATATCCATAATCATAATAGATAAATTTAAATCTTAATAAAAGCAGCGATGATAATGCCTAACACTTTTCTTCTCTTGACAGATTAAAACGTGATAAAGTACCCCAAGGACCATGGGATCTGGAAGAGGTTTTGAAGGTAAGAATGCTGCTGTTTATAGATAAATAATATGATTTTTCATTTTCTGTTCCTTTACATTGGTTAGTTAGAAAAATTTATTTTTCTTAAAAGTACTATAAAAATTGGGGTGTACATATTTTCTAGATTGCATGTAGTATTTTGATAAATACGGTACTTGAATGTTTGGAATGTCAAGAGAACACATTTTCCATCAAACTAGTATATGTGTATGCAATCTTAGGACTACAGTATGAAAAGGAGTAGTGATATTGAAACAGTCAATAAAGATTTCTTTTAAATTCTTAGGTGTTTTTTTTTTCCCATCAGTAATATTAGCATGGCAGCCATGCTTACTTGTTGGTTGTAGCAACACATTTACCACTTAATATCCTTAGAGTATAGACACTCTGTGTGGTAAATGACCGTTACAAAATTTAAACTGGTGTTGAGGTAATTTTTTGTAGCATGTAAAACAACATGGCAGTTACAGTCAATCTATATTTGGCATTTTGTTTCATGGTGGTAATTAATTCAAAAATTGGAGCTAGGCATGTGAAATGTATGGAAACATATGATAAACATATGTACAAGTTCTGTTAGGAAATTCGTTTTTGTTATAAACATCGAAGACCCACGATCTGAAATAATGAAGATACGTAATGTTACAGTCACCCTCTATATTTATATAGAGGCAGGCTAACCCAAATCTTAGATTTTGTGTCTTTTAAGAGACCTACAACATGGAGTAACCATCTTTAACTTTATCTTGGTTTTAATATAAGTGTAAGTTAGCCCATTGTTGCTCCGAGGTCTTCAATTACAGACATGACGATAGGACTAAACTTTGAGGTTATGTAATGATACACAGATCTGTTACTTTGTGGTGGGCCATGGGTTTTGGCTGCACAGTGTAAACTTGGTTGAGTCCACCCATAGACATATAGTGTTCAGGGGGTGTATGGGTTATTTTGCTGATAGCTGCAAGTAAGACAGGTCAAGTACGTAGATCTTGGTGAGGTTAAATTACCAAATGCCGAAAGAACATCAGTCCTGAGTATTCTAATTATAAAAGTAAACTACAAGGAAAAACCCGGCAAAACCTCAGCGGCATTGACAACGGAATCTACAAAGTCCAAAAATCTTTCACTGACGGACTGAAATCGGCAGAAACTCCATGCGAGATTAAGTCTCGAACAATCGCCCATCGTTTGCATTACCCACCCTACTGTTTTAGGAAGGAGAACCAAAAGGATTTCGTCCTTCCTGACTAGGCCCAATTTAATCAACGAATTGGCCTTCATCAAAAAGGTCAGTAATGCTTTCGGAGATATGACGTCCACCGTATTAATGGACCTAACCAATCCTAACACCACGTGCATATGAGGGCTGTGAATGGAGGACGTTCCAGGTTGGTTCAAAGGGACTCTTTTACCCATTTTGTCGGGACGAGTAGGATTCTGTACGGGTATTAGCTCATCAGCCGAAGGGAGATCACCAGTTTGAACCTCAGCCAATTTAACGTCAACCGGAAATCCACGTCCCATTACCTCCACATGAATCGTCGAAATTTCCTGCTCCTGCTGTGTTCTCAAAAAAGGCCACGAAGCTCGGACAGCGGACCGGTCGCATTTACCCGAAACTTCTCGCACAGCTTCACTAGGTCCTCCTTGCACAGGTCCTAGATCCAACCAACCGTCGAAGCCATGAGAGAATAAAAAGGGAAACAAATTAAAATATACAGTTAAACAAAATCACCTCAGTAATATCTACAAGATAATCCATCAAAACCGCAACACCATGCCCCGTATAGACCAAACCCCCGGTGTCCTACTGTCGGGACGCATTCAACGCCCCCACCTGACAAGCTTGTCCCCTAGCTCGGTCAAGTATAAACAACAGCTGACGCAGGCAAGGTCGGCAGGACACTAGACGACCTGTCTGTGCCACACCCTGTCCCAACAGCACGTTCACCACTTCACTCCTAACAACTTCTGACTCTTTAAAAAAATTAGAAATACCAAAAGACAAATCAGGAGCGGTCACAAGACCCAAAAAACAAAATTTATGAAACTACGCTCTGCTACCAGTTTGCGCCCTACAGGCGATCGTGACAATAGACTGAAATAACACCCACAGACCCGGAGGTGGTACGGCCGTAGGATTACAGAGGTTAAAAGCAAAATAATATAAAAGCAGTTCCAAATAATCAAAATACATTAAAAGTATAAATTAAAAAAATACATACAGGATGAAGTCAAACAACGAAACCAACAGTCAAACAAAACTCACTCTTCTCAGGCTCCGGCTGGGTTACGGACCAGCAAATTTCGACATATCCAAAACCAAACGCAAGATCAGACCTACCTTACAACAGGCAGGAAAATTTAGTCTTCAGGCTCTCCGGCGAAATACTCTGCGCGGCGAACACACACAGACTGCCCGTCGCACTGCCTCGTAAAGGCATCGAAGCCTGTGGCTCCAAAGATCGCGGTGATGGGGGAGATAAGTCACTCCGAGCCATAAGGCATGGCTCAGAAAGTAACCACGTGAAAGGTATAAAAGTATTTAGGTAATATACAGGGTGAGTCAGAAGTATGTTTACAAACTTCGTGTGCGTGTTCCTAGATCAAAAATAAGAAAAAAGTCTTCCTATGAACATGCGGTCGCAAATGCTTATTTTTCAAAATAATACCCAAAAATAAGTTCCAATGTAAGCTTTTATTACCAAGTATAAGGACAGGGATGTTTCTTTATAACAGATGCTCAAAGGTTGCTCCTCCATTCTCCACACATGTACGAGCACGTACACAAGACTGACGAATTCGTTCATATGCACCAGGGTTTCCTCGATCATCTGGCATGCATTCTGCACACATTCCCATAGGTCGTCTTCATTGTTTACGGGTGTTGCATAAACGACGGACTTCAAGTGACCCCACAGATAAAAGTCCAATGGAGTCAGGTCCGGTGACCTCGGTGGCCATGCTACTGGGCCACCTCGCCCAATCCATCGCTGAGGGTACTGTTCATTGATATGATCTCTGACATGACAGGAAAAATGTGTTGGGGCTCTGTTGTGCACAAACATTTGCCTTCTTGTACTCAGTGGTACATCTTCAAGGAGACGTGGCAAGTGTCTTCTTAAGAATCGCCGACATGAAGGTCCTCTTAAGACGCGATGGAAGCATGTGTGGACCAATAAACATGTCGCCAACAATTCCTGCCCAAACTTTAATTAAAAATCTTTGCTGGAAGCTGGATTCACTTTGATATAAAGTCAATTCATTGAAACTTATTTTTGGCTGTTATTTCGAAAATGAAACATTTGCGACCCCATGTTCATAGGAATTTTTTTTCTTCTTATTTTTAATCCTGGAACATGCACACGAAGTTTGTAAATATACTTCTGACTTACTCTGTGTATTGTAAGGTAATATAATTTAAATGGAGCTGGTTTAGGGTCAGGTCCAATAGCAGGCTTTTTTGGTTAATCTTAAACCTTTTGGTTCCAATCTTAGAGAGCGGGTCAAGGTATTCTACCTTACGAATGAACATATTTATATTAGATATACGAATATGCTGACGTAGACTTTATATTCTGTTCTGTCTGCTGTCAAGTACATATGCAGTTTCTTGTTCAGTGTATATTTCTTTCATTTAGAATTTTCAGCTGTATGATACCGGAGACTTGATTATGGTTAGAGAGACTGATTTGGTTTTATTATTAATTTAAGCATGGTAAATCACCTTGTTCAATACTGTAATAATCACATGTCACTTTCTAACCATTCATCTCTTACGAAACATGTAGTAGTATAAAGCGCAATATTGTAACATCGAGATAACGATGAATAACGCAGAATTTCCAATCTTAGAGAGCGGGTCAAGGTATTCTACCTTACGAATGAACATATTTATATTAGATATACGAATATGCTGACGTAGACTTTATATTCTGTTCTGTCTGCTGTCAAGTACATATGCAGTTTCTTGTTCAGTGTATATTTCTTTCATTTAGAATTTTCAGCTGTATGATACCGGAGACTTGATTATGGTTAGAGAGACTGATTTGGTTTTATTATTAATTTAAGCATGGTAAATCACCTTGTTCAATACTGTAATAATCACATGTCACTTTCTAACCATTCATCTCTTACCACTCTAGAGCAAGACAATACGGGAGTTTGATTCATCTTACACCACAAAACAGTTCGGCTACAAAGACGTAGAATCCTACTACACAGATGCCACTATCCATGACAAACTACACAAAATTGAAGTTCCATTATTGTGCCTCAGTGCAGGGGATGATCCATTTCAGCCTTTGGAAGGTAATTTTTTATAAAGTAAAACCCATTTTCTCTAGACAAAGTCTAAAATAACACTAATTAGCAGTGTCATTATTGATTATTGTGATGGTAGGTAAGTCTACAATCTTTACTTTCACTTATCATTGAAATATCAGTGGATTTTCTCTCGTCATTTGGCCTGAATAATAGTATAATAATAGTAATGCAACTGTTACAGGAATATGTAAACATTTTTTTTTCTCAGTATAAAAATTTCAATTTTAGAGTATATATAATCACTTATTGAAAATCCGGAATTATTAAAAATTGTGATCGAGGGTGTTAAATAATTTAAATTGTCAAATACTTCCCACATTGTCGGGTGTGCGCAACAGAAAGAAAACTATACTTGACGTACCTAGTCAGACTTGTGAGGAAAATGTATTAATATTCAGCATAAACTAAAGGAAACAAATATTAATGGAAATGTTTCCAGTTGTAAGACACTAATTTCTGCAGCTGTGGTAAAAGGGAGTATGTAATATAATACCATATTTTATAATATAAGTTATTTAATTCCCATCATTACTGTTTGTCAACAGCAAAGAGCTTACAATAGGCAAACGGTAATAAAAATATTCAACACTGGAAGGAAACAGAATAAAACAAAGTTAAACTAAACCAAGTAATCAATGTGTACACTATCCCATTTTGAGAAAATGTCCTCAAAGGAGAGAGTGTTGTTGCTGTTTGCCCAGAAATCTGCACGTGTCATTTGCAGTTCTCGCACACGTAACTAACTGAAGGACTATACGTGTGGGTGTTTGCACATGTGCCTATGTAACACAGCATAATATAATATAAAGCTGATTAGAATATGTGGACTAGTGTAAGTTGTGGTGTGAAATCCACCAATTAGAAAATGTGAAACTAACCACAATCAAATTTTACTGATGAAAAAGAAAGAGTACAAATTTATGTCAGTGGATGTTACTGAAGACCTACTGTAGCATTGCGCTAGGGTGATACAAGTTCACATGGAATGCGCTTAATAGCGTGATGCATGGATGACATAGGTTAAAAAAAAATGGTGATCCATGGTTCAATCTAAAAAAATTGTTATACTCAATCTACTATCTCTGTCTTAATAAATTTCAATTTTTTTCAGCAATTCCTCTGGAGGAAGCGAATAAGTCCAAATATGTTGCTATTGTTGTAACAGCACGTGGTGGTCACATTGGGTTCCTCGAAGGTCTTTTTCCTCTCTTTCATGAGCAGTACATGTGTCGTTTCTTCACACAATATTTCACTGCTATATTTGCAGATGGCTCAGATCTTTTTGCTGCAATCGAGAAACCTACAAATACATCGTGTATAGAGCAAGTTTAATTTATTGCATCATAATGTAATCATGTAATTAACACAACCACATTCCAGAATGTACTATAGTTATAATTTGTAACAGCACCGCTTAAAGTGGCTAGTATTATTTCCTTTATTTTATAAAAACAGTTGACAATACAACATGATGATTGTATTGTAATAACAGAAGTGAGTTCCTCATTTAATGGAAATGTCGTGTATGCAGTTACTTTCTGAAAGGACAGGTCTGTAATTTAAAGATGATCTGTCATGTTTGATGTGATGATGCTGTAATGCTGAAGGTGCTAACCTTGGATTAGGAACAGAGGCAGAACTATTGTAGAGTGATCAGAGCAGGTGTCTTGGCACAGTTGGTAATGGGCATTGGCTACAGGAATTCTTTTTTAAATTTAACAAGTCTGAAAAGATTGAATCCATACTGAAGTACAGTTTTATCTGTAAAAGCAACTAAATTTAATCAGTTATACGGTAGATTTCGGTTAATCAGGGCAGCCGTTTATTTGGGACAAATTTTAAAGAACAAACCTTTTTAACTCTTTATGTGGAACTTTACATAATTGGAGCAGCTGCTTAATTTGGCCAAAGTGTTCTAGTTCCGATGTGTCTCAATTAACCTGAATCCACTATATTAAATTTTAAATCTGAAGGCTTTCTGTTCTCAATTCTGGGCCTAAGTCTCTCAATATGAATGTCTTAAAAGTTACTACCACACTTTTGCTTCTTGGAGAATGGGAAGAAGCAGGTTTCTAAACTTACCCTGGATACCAAAATGACAAACCCCACATGTAGGAATAAAGGTATCATAACCTAACTTAGGGTGCTGATTCAAGTTCTGCCTCACAGGACTGATGATTATTGTTGTTGAGTTACAATACCATAATGTGGAATGGAATTAGAGTCAAGTTTCTGAATTTGAGCTGAGTGTTGGTTTGATGTGATCTGGATTGCCTTTATTCCAGTGTAATTAAAATTAAAATTAAAATTAAATTTCATTGTAAAATAAAATTAAATATATATATATATATATTGGTGGTGGTAGTCTAGTGTTGATGGCATAATTGTTGATATACCAGTTTCATCACTTGTTAAGGATCCTTCATCTCGTACAGCATCATTAAAATCTACTGTTATTCAGGAATCAGTTATTCTAGGGGAGAGACAGTTTTGGAATAGCTAATAAGGTACCTTCGTTTGTGCGTGCCTCTTAAAGGTTGAAAGAGAGTCACTTCTGATATTACTACAGGCTTGTAACCAAGAGTCTTTCATCAACTTCAGTAGCCACAAAAGCTTCACTTTATAAATCAGAATCTTTTTCTGGGAGAAAACATTAAAACCTTATACGGCTTCTAACCCGAGAGTCTTTCATCAAGGAATGATTTATTAGGTAACTGAGAGAACAGTAAATTACACACTTTATATCTATTAACCCTTTGCTATAAAATGGGTTATAACATTGGATGGCTGTGAGATTTGTATAGATATTGTGAGAATCAAAATGGAATCTTAAAAATATGAAACAGTTTTGCAAAATGTAGCTAATACTGTTTCATTCTGTCAGTATTAGAAAGTAGGTTCTGTTTTGCACCATTCCTGGCTATCTTTTGAAATTCAATATGTCAAATATGCCATTATTTATATTAGTATTCACTTAATGTTTCACATGATGTTACAAAAGGTATAGGTTATAAATAAATGTTTTATGTTTCTAGAAACTGTGAGTATTAGCAATAGCGTGGTTGAAAGTTTATAGTTAAAATACAGTACAGATCACTGTCTTTCATTGGCAATAATGTAACTTTTAATTTGTTTTTATATGTAGATTAATATTATTTTAGGATCTTAAGGAAACTGATTGTTTACAAAAGGTCCAAAGAATAAAAACAAAATAATGAAATGACAGCTGCAGTACTAAGCCACGTGAATGTGGTAAATAATCAGATGATAAAACATAAACAATATAAAACCCTGGATAATTGAAATATATCAGATAATTACGTGAACCCTTAGGAAAGCAAGATGACATTTTTCTGTCTCTTTGTCTTGCCCTCTTTCTTCATAACCTTACCTGTTTGTTAAATTTTTGTGAAACCTTTTGTTATTCAGAATAACAAATCTGTGTTTCAATGGTTTTGGAAATCCATTTCAGATATTACATGTCTGAGGGTTATTTAACACTGCAAAGTTCCATTTTGTATTATCAGTATAGCCTTTTTTTAAGTTAAGTAAGATTTGAGGTTCTCACAGCAGTGATTATGAAGACGGCTGTCTTCCGGGTTGCAGCACCATGCATTCTGGTAGAACTTCTTACACAGCACTACAACCCAGAAGACAGCCATCTCTGTGTTTATATTGTATTATGTTTAATAGACAGACCATCTTAACAGCCAAGCAATTCCTGCCTTAAGTGAACTGAATTGTCAAATTGCATGTGATTGCAGCGTAAATGCCTTTATTGTTTAGTTTAGGCAATGAGAAGCTGATCGCTGTCCGTAATTATTGAGTCATCTTGACCTGTGACTTGTGCAATCATATTGGCTGGCTGTTTAAGGTGTGGCAAGAATCTGAATGTTATAAATCATGAGTTTTCATCATACTGCTTAAAATGTTGTAGATTATTTTAAAATATAGTGCACAAGGACATTGTATATAGTGATACGGAGGGGCAGAAGTATTGTTTGTTTGTTTTGTAGGAAGAAGAGCACCCTATAATTTAAATAATACACCTTTTGCTCAGAACTACAAACTTTTCTTTAACTCCAAAATGGTCATGTAACACTTCATGCTCATCCTTTGAGATGTGTAATTTCCTTAAAATTCAGAAGGCCAATGTATGCATTCTTATGGTATAATATGTGGCATTTTCAGCAGTTTAGCTGTTCTTGGTCTGGGTGTAGTTTGTTGCTGTTATTATACATACATAGGCCTTAAATTTTGCTGCAAGAAGAAAATCATCATTTTAAGCAACATCATACTTCACATTTGCTTTTTCTCCATTATCATACAACTTCCTTGGGCACATCTTTTAGAGCATGATTTCATAAATAAGCATAGGTCATGTACTGTGTGTGATAGTTAAGCAAGTACTTGTGACTTATGTGACCTAGGAAGTCATGTGCTGCATTACTATCAGACCAAAAAATGTCATGTCAAATTTGATATAAAACTTTACTAGTAATACTTCATAACAGTGGAATTATTATGAAATACTAACAGTAATAACAAAACAAATAAATTAATTATAATACCATGAACAGTGGAGCAGTAGAAAGCAACAAATATGTGTGAGAAATACCTTTGTACTAGATCACAAGTATTTAATTAACTCTCGTGTACGGTATATAGTAATAAGTTATCTCAGTTTAACCATTTTAGGTTGTTGGTTGCTACGCTTTCTGCTATTTGAAATTACCTTTGTCAAGACAAGGATGGCATGTGATTGTATTCTAAGTTTAGTGCAAGTTTTAATATATTGTCTATAGATAAGAACCTAGAAAGATTAATCTTTAATATATAAAATGTAGAATAGCGTGCAAGAGGCACATTTGTGTGTCTGCTTCACAGCTTTATTTTATAAACAGGCCTAGCAAGGAACGAGCTGGTTTTACTTAAATGAGCTGTTGTTACATTAACTGCCACAGTTTCCTATTGTCCTATATTTT